CCTTGTGGACCCAGAAAGAGAACACATTCTCTCACCAGGAAACTGATTTTGGACTTCTGACCTTCAGAACCATTAAGTGATAACAAATTTGTGTTATTTGAAGACACTAAATTTGTGGTGGTTTGTTACAGCAGCAGTATGAAACGAATACAGACTTTAAATGTCATACGTTAACAGTGATTCTTAGTCTTAAGTTCTCACCAGTCAGGTTTTGGGAAGAGCAGTGGGCCTGGTGGGCCTGGGGGAAGAAAACACTTATTGGTGATCTGGATTGGGAAATTAGGAAATATTTTTGGTGTCCAAGATTAATTTTAACACCTCAAAAGAGCACAAGTGATTAATTTGAGAGGCAGTTAGTACTGTAGGGTTGAGCTAGGGCAATATCATGTAGTTATTCTGGAAATCCTGGGTTCCCTCTAAGCTGCTTCTTGCTCTTACTAGTGGTTAAGACCATTGGTTGAGATCTCTCCCCACCTTCCATAAATAAAAGGCTGTCCCAGCTTCCATAATGGTCTTGATCATGCCCACTGCCCACCGTCCTTTGAGTTATAAGTAAAATACTCTTGGATTCATTTTGGAATGAACTGGGGGTTATGCATGAGGGCAGATTGAGGAGGGCAGATTCTTTTTTGTGGCCCACAAAAAAGAAACCTGAAATTTCCTTACATAAAGTATTTGTTTTAAATTGTTAACAGAAAGCTTCTTTTAAAAAAAATTTCAATTCTTTCTTTTGCATTTGAACATTTTCTTCTTTTCTGTGAAAATAAAAAATATTTGGTAATCTTCTGTGGTTTATTTGAAAATCACAGTTTTGCCTTTTTATTTTCTAGACAATTGATCCAGAATTTTTTTTTTAACTGGTGTGTGCATGTGTGTGTGTGTGTGTGTGTATGTGTGTGTTTTGACAGAATATCATTCTGTTCCCAGGCTGGAGTGCAGTGGTACAATCTTTGTTCACTACAACCTCCGCCTCCTGAGTTCAAGTGACTCTCCCGCCTTACCCTCCTGAGTTAGCTGGGACTACAGGTGTGTGCCACCACGTTCAGCTAATTTTTGTATTTTTAAGTAGAGACAGGGTTTCACCATGTTGGTCAGGCTGCTTGAACTCCTGACCTCAGGTGATCTGCCCATCTCAGCCTCTCAAAGTATTGGGATTGCAGGTGTCAACCACGGTGTCCAGCCAGAGTGTATTTTTTAAGTTGTTAGGTACTTTGTGTTTCTCTTGAACCTTATGCAAGTGCCCTCTGATCCTTTTAATCTACAGTTCTCCGAACTAAATCTAGTTATTTAGTTTCATCATTGGGTCTAGTCAGTGATAGAAGAGTACCTTTGATAACTGGGGGAAGAAGTCCCTGAGTTAATTTGAATGTTGATTTGAAATTGATACAGTTGAAATACAATTTGGCATTAACTTTGAAAGAAAATCAGCTGATTAATAATGCAATACAATACTTTAGATATATTACTAATAAACTCTGTTAAAGTGAAATGACCTTTTCAATCTAAAATTTTTTATTTTAAAATACATTCTTTTGGAAATGATTTTGTTCCATTATTATTCAAAAATAATCACATGCCAGGGCCCTAAAATTTAATTATAGGATCTCTGCCTTTGTTGGGGCACAATCTCTGTGCCTTTCTTTGGTTTGCCCATAAAGTGGTTAGAACATTGAGTTAAAATATTGTCAGTACCAGGCCGGGTGCAGTGGCTCACGCCTATAATCCTAGCACTTTGGGAGGCTGAGGCGGGTGGATCACGAGGTCAAGAGATCGAGACCATCCAGGTCCACAAGGTGAAACCCCGTCTCTACTAAAAATACAAAAATTAGCTGGGCATAGTGGCGTGTGCCTGTAGTCCCAGCTACTCGGGAGGCTGAGGCAGGAGAATTACTTGAACCCAGAAGGCGGAGGTTGCGGTGAGCCAAGATCGTGCCATTGCACTCCAGTCTGGGTAACAACAGCAAAACTTCGTCTCAAAAAAGAAAAAAAAAATATTGTCAATACCTGTGTCTACCAAACAGTGCATTAAAATACAAATGAATAAACTACAGTTTGAATGTAAGTTCTTCTTGGCAGAGATTTGGATGTTAAACCTTGTAAAATCTATTTTGTAAGGAATTTACAAGGATTTATAATCTGGGGATAAAACAAAAATATGGACTCTGTCTACATAATCAAATGTCCATTCAGCAAAGTGTGCAGGTGGTTAAATATTTCTAACAACCGGTCTCTGATTACAGATCAGTTTTCAGTGAAGTAGCTATCAGAAAAAGCATTAAAAGTTTTTAATTTTTTTTCTTTCTCAGTTGAGGTAAGAGTAAGGGAACAGGGGCAAAGCGCTTTGAGCTCTCTTGAAGACCATGCAGATATCTTTCTCTTCATCAGACTTAATTCTCTACATTGAACATGTGCTGCTGATTTTTTTAAATATATGGAGTTTCGCTCTGTTGCCCAGGCAGAATGCAGTGGCACAACTTGGCTCACTGGACCTCCGCCTCCCGGATTCAAGTGATTCTCCTGTCTCAGCCTCCTCAGTAGCTGGGATTACAGGCGTCCACCACCACACCCAGCTAATATTTGTATTTTCAGTAGAGACCATGTTTCGCCGTGTTGGGCAGGGACACAGCCACACCATATCTCTAGGATAGCTGACAGGAATCTGCAAATGAAAGAGGTTGTAGATTCATTATGGTTCCAGATGGCACAACTGCAGACCTCGGAAAACAATGAGATGGAGTTTCTCTTTGGTTAATATTATATTTATGTATATACACATATGTATAATTTGGAGGTAGTACTGGGGTCTCTGTACATTATATATGTATGGCAAATCCTCAAATAATGTCCTTTTGTTTAGTATAATTTTGTTGTCACTTTGATCAGAAAAAAAATCAATTCCTAGCTGGCCATTGTCTCTGTGGCGTTTGCACATTCTCCCCATGTCTGCATGGGTTTTCTCTGGATTCTCTGCTTTCCACTCACATCTTCAAAGATGTCCATGTTAGGTGAATTGGTGTGTCTACATGGTACCAGTCTGAGTAAGTGTGGGTGTCTGGGAGTGCACCCTATGATGAGATGGTGTCTTGTCCAGGTCTAACCAGGTCTTTCTGCCTTTGGTAAATAATTATCTTATTTGATTTTATTAATCTTTTCTAACTGTATGTATAGCTCACATTTATTTCAGTGTTTTATATTAGAAGTGTTTTGGTCATTATTTAGAAGTTTGGTGATTTTTTTGTGGCCAGAAATATGCTGTAGGAACTTAACTCTTATTTATATCAATTAGCCTGAGTAAAATTGGTTTCATTATGTGTTGTTTCACTTAAAGTTGGACTTTCTAAGAAGTTGCACTTTCTAAGAACTTATGAATGATGTTAAGTGAGGACCTACTATATATAAATTAATATATTACTATATGAATATATATGCTTACACACAACACACACACACACACACACACACACACACACACGTAGAAGGGAGTAAATTTCTGGTCACCGAAGGTATTTAAGCTGAGGTTGGGGGGATGTCTTCCAAGAAATAGTATAAACTGCATTTCTTTTTGAATTCATTCATTCATTCACTTCCTATGGAGCCCTTCCTGTGTGTCACACACTATTCCTACTATGGTGAAGACAGATAAATACTGGGTAAGAGCTTGGATTAAAAGACTTTAAAAACCTCATTATATCTGTGGTTGAAAGAAGTTGCTTGATACTTTGGTGTCCTTTAACTTAAGTGCGGAGCTCCGCTTGTGTATTACCCACTCTGTGTTTTAGATACTCCTGTGTGTTCCCATCACATGTCTTCTGTGATGTGGAGTAGTACTTTATGTCATCCTCTGAGAAGCTGTAGGCTTTAACATCATGTGTATGACAATATTTATCTCCCTACCCTTTTTTTTTTTTGGTCTGAGACTCTGTCACCTAGGCCGGAGTGCAATGGCATGATCTTAGCTCACTGCAATCTCCTCCTCCCGGGTTCAAGTGATTCTCCTGCCTCAAGCTTCCTGAGTAGTTGGGATTACAGGCACTTGCCATCATGCCTGGTTAATTTTTGTATTTTTAATAGATATGTGTTTTCGCCATGTTGGCCAGGCTGGTCTCGAACTCTTGACCTCACGTGATCTGCCTGTCTTGGTCTTTCCAAAGGGCTGGGGTTACAGGCATTTTTAGCCACCACTCCCAGCCATCTCCCTACCTTTAAAGAAGAAGTTAAAGTTGAATGGGAAGTCAGCTTTTGACAGAATAATGTTGATTTTTCATGGGAAACATTTAATTCCAGGCTAGGTGAATAGGTTTTTCAAGATTCAGGCCGGGTGTGGTGGCTCACATTTGTAATCCCAGAATTTTGGGAGGCCGAGGTGGGCGGATCATAAGGTCAGGAGTTCAAGACCAGCCTGGCCAACATAATGAAACCTTGTCTCTACTAAAAATACAAAAAATTAGCTGGGTGTGATGGTGGGCACCTGTAAACCCAGCTACTTGGGAAGCTAAGGCAGGAGAATCACTTGAACCTGGGGAGGTGGAGGTTATAGTGAGCAGAGGTAGCCCCACTGCACTCCAGCCTGGGCAACAGTGGGAGACTCCATCTCCAAAAAAAAAAAAAAAAAAAAAAAAAAGATTCAAGATTTACCAGAAAGTATAAGAGAACACAATCAGTGCTTTTAAAATAAATGTAAGGTGATATTATTTATTAACATTATTGGAAGTTCACTATACTGAAAACATATATGGAAAAGTCTTGTTCCAGAGTTATGCTTTTATTTTTCTGAAGGAAATTATACTTCCTGCATACTAAGACACCGAATCTTCAACTTCAATATTTGTAAGTTGACTATGTATCTGGACTAATTCTATTTTTTTCCTGTAGAGATCAGATAGTATGAGGAAAAAGCAGAGATGCCAAGAACAAAGTGTGCAGATTTGAAGGTAATACTGGGGTCTCTGTACATTGTGTCCTGTCAAGTAAGGCCAGCTGTTCATTTGTTTCACGTCTAGGTTTGGAATTCACCCAGTTGCAGGCCGAATGCCTGGTCAGCTTAATGTGCTGCTGGCTGAGGCTGGGGTGCCATATGATATTGTGTTGGAAATGGATGAGATCAACCATGATTTCCCAGGTAAGTGATGGGGCAATGGTGAAGTTTAAATATTCTTACTATGAAGAAAGCAGTGCCAGATTTGGGATATAAATTGTAGATTCAGTGAACACTGACTAGTCAGATGGAAAGGAACTTGTAGATAGGCAGTTGAAATTAAATAAGTGAAAGAAAATATTGAATAAGGTACAAAAGAGTCATGAACAGCATAGGTAAATTTTTCTCCTTTGTGAAGAACTGAAAGATGGTGGAAACCTTGGGGTATAGTGCAGAAATGTTGTTGGGGATCTGGGCAGACCTGGCTTTTGTATCCAGATCCTAACTCTCAGTAGCTTGTTATTTAACCTCAGACTCTTCATTTATGAGTGCTTCTGTTGATAATTAAGTGTCTGATTCTTGCCAGTTTCTGAGATTTTACTGGTTTCCAATTGTACTAATGTATGACTGGTGAAGTAGTTTTCTCTTTTTTTTTTTTTTTTAAAGTACTAGAATTTCCCTAGGTGCTCTACTTTATCGCTGTCATAGGGCAGATGTTGAATGGTAATGACATTTGGCCCAAGCTTATGTTTGTTAAAATTAAACCATTTCCCTCTGGCAAATAGCCACTATAAACTTAAGAAATGCTGTTTATTAGAAAAAAAATAATGAAATTGTGTGTATGTTTAGATTCACGTGGCATTTTTTGGCACCATTCTAAGGTAGTTTATATTGCAGTTCTTAAAGAGAAAACTTAGGCCTTTTTAATTTTATGTCCCTTTTCAGATCCCACTGTTATTAAATTATGTGTAATGCTAACCAGTTCCAGGAATTATGGACATGGCTTTAATGAGGATTTTGATACTATTGTCTATTAGACATCAGATTGTATCTTAAGGGGTTATTTTATTTTTATGTATTTTTTTTAACTTTTATTATAGATTCATGGGTACATGTGCAGGTTTGTTACCTGGGTATATCGTGGAATGCTGAGTGTTGGAAGTAGTGAGCATAGTACCCCACAATTTTTCAGCCCTTGCCCCTGTCCCTCCCTCCTCACTCTGGTCGTCTCCAGGTTCTATTGTTGCTATATTTATGTCCCTGAGTACCCAGTGTTAAGCTTCCACTTATAAGTGAGAATGTGCGGTATTTGTTTTTTTGTGCCTGTGTTTATTTGCTCAGGATAATGGCTTCCAGCTGTTTCCATGTTGCTGCAAAGAACATTATTTCCTTCTTTTTTATGGCCTTATAGTATTCCATGATGTATACATACCACGTTTTCTTTATCCAGTCTACCTTTAATGGACACCTAGGATGATTCTATGTCTTTGCTACTGTGAATAGTGCTGCAATAAACATGTTAGTGAATGTGTCTTTTGGTAGAATGATTTGTTTTCTTTTGCATGGTGGGATTGCTGGGTCAAATAGCAGTTCTAAGTTCTTTGAGAAATCTTCAAACTGCTTTCCACAGTGGCTGTACTAATTTACATGTCCATAAACAGTGTGTAAATGTTCCATTTTCTCCACAGCCTTGCTAGCATCTGCTATTTTGACTTTTTACCGGTAGCTGTTCTTACTGTGTGAGATAGTAATTTCAATGTGGTTTTGCTTTGCATTTCTCTTATGATTAGTGATGGTGAGCATTTTTTCATGTTTGTTGACCACTTGTATATCTCCTTTTGAGAAATGTCTGTTCATGTCTTTTGCCCTTTTTTTTTTTTTAATTTCCTTTTTGAGTTGTTTAAGTTCCTTATAGATTCTGGATTTTAGACCTCTGTCCAGTGTATCATTTGTGAATATTTTTTCTCATTCTATAGCTTGTCTGTTTACTCTCCTGATAGTTTCTTTTGCTGTGGAGAAGCTCCTTAGTCTAATTAGGTCTCACTTGTCAATGATTGTGTTTGTTGCAATTGTTTTCTGAGGACTTAGTCATAAATTTTTTCCGAAGGCTGTTGTCCAGAATGGTGTTTCCTAGGTTTTCCTCTTGGATTCTTATAGTTTGAGATTAAAATGGTCATTTTAAAGGGTGAAAGTGGAATGCAAATTTCACAAAATCATGTGACACTATAGCAAGATCATTTTGAGATCATGAAAGAGTTATAAAGTCAAATTAGGTAGATTTATTGAGAAGGGAGGAGCATAATAATTCAGGGTGTAGTCAAGATGGTCAAGTTCAAATGTAAGACCTACTGCTTTTTAACTGTGTGACACTGGCTGAGTTGCTTAACCTCTCTGATAAAGTTCTTTGTACAGTGCCTGCCACAAGTGCAAATCTATATTTTTATTGTTATTATAAAGTAAGATCACTATAATTTGTCTGAAAATATGTAAAAGTGACCCTTTGAGTTTTATATTCTTTCTTTTTTCTTTAATTATATAGATACTGATTTGGTCCTTGTAATTGGAGCTAATGACACTGTTAATTCAGCAGCTCAAGAAGATCCCAACTCTATTATTGCAGGCATGCCAGTCCTTGAGGTCTGGAAATCAAAGCAGGTAAAGTTTCCGACTTGTATTTCATTCTGATAACCAAAGGTCACTTAAAATATACACACACAAATTTCTTTGATCATTTGATAAGAAATGATGATGTTTTCTAGGAGGCCCAAGAGTAAGAGCATGTTTAGGGCCCAGTTTCCTATATCCAGCTTCTGTCTGTTCTCTGGCCACCAGAGAATGTAAGTGAATGCCCTCATCACAAGTAGAACCAGATGAGATTATGTGGGTAGATTAACAAAATCTGTAACCACAGCTGAGAAAAGAGCTGTGAGCTTTTGGAATGAGTCTGGCTGAATTCCAGATTGAGTCCCATGAAGCAGATGGCTTCCCTCTGGGACAGTGAGTCAGTATCATCGCCTTCATATACCAAGATGAGCATATTTTTTTTCGTATAACTTTTTTTGAAAGGGAATTTGTAAGTTGTTATAGAGTATTTAGCAGAAAGGTGATTTAGAAATCCAAACCATAACGTGGCATAAGGAAGCAAGCTTTGCTCATGCATATTGTTTCTGAAAAAGCTAATTGCTAGATTTTAGATAACTCAGAGGCTAGTAAATTTTCCTCTGCCTCAGCAGCAGGCACATTTTACTACTACTGAGTCACATCTGCATTTAAAAAATCCTAATAACATAATGTACATTTCCATTTAATTTTGTTTCTTTTATTGTAAATATGGGAGTTTAAAACAGTATTTGTGATGAGTGAGTAGAAATAAAATGTCCTTGTTCGTGTGTGTATGAAAAACTATTGTGTCGTAGTCAATATATCAGAGTTTGCAGAGTGCATTACTGTGCTAATGCTATAAGAAAAAGAATGCATTTGCACTTCTTCCATTTTTGGATAGATTACATGTCCTAGCAGACCACAGAAAGGCTTTTCATTTCATTAAAAACTGACTTGATATTCAGCAGGACAGCAACATCCATAACACATCACTGTAAATATCTATAACACATCAATATTATAGATTGACTTACTTCTTCCATTTTGATTTGTAGGAACATTCTGTTAGTTATTAGCTGTGTCCTTGTGAGAAGCTGGATTGCTCTTTGAGGTTTTGTCCTAGCACTTTCTGATATACTTTGAAGTCATAGAAAAGAATAACACAGTTTTCCCACTCAACCACATCTGTTTTAGAATTTGTAGTGGAAACTTGTGTACTAAATGAATGTACTTTAGCACATTCATAGAAAGATGCTTATTTTGCTGGCTAGAAAATTGTATACATGGTCTTTATAGATAAAAGCATTAAGAAGAAAATCATTGTAATCTTATCACTCAGAGATGAATTGTTAACATGACTTTTTCTCTAATGGATGTAAGAATAAAGGTACATTTAAATATTAAAGTTAATACAGTGCAAACATTCATTAAAAATACTTTTTGTGTATTTTTAAAGTGCCTGTACTAAAGAATTAGTAGTGATACATACCTTGTTCAAAGGTAGTGAAGAGCAATGTTTTTGTGCCTAACAGGTCCTAGGCATGTCTGTTAAATGCTCTCTCTCGTTTAATCTTTGGTTCTCAGGTGATTGTTATGAAGAGGTCTTTGGGTGTTGGCTATGCTGCAGTGGACAATCCAATCTTCTACAAACCTAACACGGCCATGCTTCTAGGTGATGCCAAGAAAACATGTGACGCACTCCAGGCGAAAGTTAGAGAATCCTATCAGAAGTAAATATTAAAGATCAAGCTGTTGGCTAATAAAGCCACCTCTGCAGTTGTGGGAACAGTCAAATAAAGTATCAGTATACATGTACATCTATAACAAGCTCTTGGAAGAAAAGACTGAAGGAAGCAAAGCAAATACTGTATAGAGAGATTTTTCAAGATCAGTAATCCCTCAGTTTTAAAAAAGGATTAAAAATTCTGAATGTCTTTCTGTGCATATTTTTTAGTGTTAGGAATCAAAAGTATTTTGTAAAAGAAGAACAGCCTCATTTCAAATATAATTCTGTTGGATTTTTTATGCCTCCTCAGTAACCAGAAATGTTTTAAGAAACTAAGTGTTTAGGATTTCAGGGCTTACATTATACATGGATCTGAAATATCTGGTACAATGTAAACATTGCAGGCAACTGCATTTTGTGTGTTTTTTTTTTTCCAACAAATGTGACTAATTTGAAACTTGTATGAACTTCTGAGCTCTCCCCTCGCTATTTAACCATAGTCTGAATTAACCATATCAAATTGGTTTTAATTTTTTAAACTGTACTTCAGAGTCTATATTTCAAGGGCGTATTTTCTCACTACTATTTTAATACATTAAAGGACTAAATAATCTTTCAGAGATGCTGGAAACAAATCATTTGCTTTATATGTTTCATTAGAACACCAATGGAACATACAACTTGAAAATTAATGTTAGTTATATTTTTGAAAATTCCATTTCTAATTGGAGATCTCTTCAATTTCAATCAACGTATAATGTGTAGTACTGTATTAAGTGCACTTGAGTGGAATTGAACATTTGACTAATAAAATGAGTTCATCATGTTGGCAAGTGATGTAGCAATGATCTCTGGTGACAAAAGTAAAATCAAGTATTTCTGCCTGCTATAAATATCAGTGGAAGACCTGATACTATGAAATAGATGAAATTAATCTGTCTTCACTGTTTACAATAAGAATGGATTTTGTTTTCAAATCAGTGTGTGTTTTGAGGTCTTATGTAATTGATGACATTTGAGAGAAACGGTGGCTTTTTTTTAGCTACCTCTTTGTTTATCTAAGCACCAGTAAAGATCATGTCTTTTTATAGAAGTCTAGATTTTCTTTGTGACTTTGCTACTGTGCCCAAAGCTCTAAATATAGGTGGATGTGTGATGAATACTCAGGTTATTTGTCTCTGCCTATAATTAATTTGGTACTAAGTTTCTCAAAAAATTAACACATGAAAGACAATCTCTTAAATCAGGAAAAGAAGTACAAATTTTATTACTGTAATACTCGTGTTTAGCGAGTTTAAAACACACAGCATCTGTTGGTTTTATAGTCAATTTATATTTTGCTGTGCCTGAGATTAAGCTCTCTCTCTCTCTCTCTCTCTCTCTCGCTCTCTGTGTGTGTGTGTGTGTGTGTGTGTATGTGTGTGTGTGTTAAAGCATAAAAGACTCCTTTTAAAGTTTTAAGTGACAAATGCAATTTGTTAATAGATCTTAGGTCACTAGTAATCTCAGGACTGAATTATATAATGAATATTCTATTAGAAGAAAGTAAACACCATCTTTATTCATGCCCTTTTCCTTCTCTCAAAATAGTTGTAGCTATATCTAGAAAAAAGCAATTTTGATATCTTGAAAAGGCAGTTGCTACATTCAGTTAAAACTATTAATTAATTTACTTTTCATTGTAGTAAAATTTTTAATGCATTTTTAAAAATTTAGTATGATCTTATTCTTTGCTGTTTGTCAATCCTTGTCATCAATTGTGTTAATTGAATTGAAAATTCATGCTCTGTTGGTTTTATTTTACTTTATTGGTTAGGATATTTAAAGGATTTTTGTATGTATAATTTCTTCTTCTTTTAGTTGCATTTTAGGTTTTGGGTTACATGTGAAGAACATGCAAGATTGTTGCATAGGTACACACATGGCAGTGTGATGTGCTGCCTTCCTCCCCATCACCTATATCTGGCATTTATCCCCATGCTATCTCTCCCCACCCCCCGCTGTCCCTCCTCTATTTCCCCGCTACAGACCCCAGTGTGTGTGATGCTCCCCTCCCTGTGTCCACGTGTTCTCATTGTTCAACACCCACCTATGAGTGAGAACATGTGGTGTTTGATTTTCTTTACTTGTGTCAGTTTGCTGAGAATGATGGTTTCCAGATTTATGCATGTCCCTACAAAGGACACGAACTCATCATTTTTGATGGCTGCCTAGTATTCCATAGTGTATAAGTGCCACATTTTCCCTGTCCAGCCTATCATTGATGGGCATTTGGGTTGGTTCCAGGTCTTTGCTATTGTAAACAGTGCTGCAATGAACATTCATGTGCATGTGTCCTTATAGTAGAATGATTTATACTCCTTTGGATATATACCCAGTAATGGGATTGCTGGGTCAAAAGTAATTTCTATGTCTAGGTCCATGAGGAATCGCCACACTGTCTTCCACAATGATTGAACTAATTTACACTCCCACCAACAGTGTAAAAGTGTTCCTATTTCTCCATATCCCCTCCAGCATCTGTTGTCTCCAGATTTTTTAATGATCGCCGTTCTAACTGGCATGAGGTGGTATCTCAATGTAGTTTTGATTTGCATTTCTCTAATGACCAGTAATGATGAGCATTTTTTCATATGTTTGTTGGCCTTATGTATATCTTCTTTTGTAAAGTGTCTGTTCATGTCCTTTGCCCACTTTTGGATGTCCTTGTTTGTTTTATTCTTGTAAATCTGTTTTAGTTCTTTGTAGATTCTGGATATCAGCCCTTTGTCAGATGGGTAGACTGCAAAAATTTTTTCCCATTCTGTTGGTTGTCAATTCACTCTAATGACTGTTTCTTTTGCTGTGCTGAAGCTGTGGAGTTTGATTAGGTCCCATTTGTCTATTTTGGCTTTTGTTGCCAATGCTTTTGGTGTTTTAGTCATGAAGTCCTTGCCTATTCCTATGTCCTGAATGGTTTTGCCTAGATTTTCTTCTAGGGTTTTTATGGTGTTAGGTCTTATATTTAAGTCTTTAATCCATCTGGAGTTAATTTTAGTATAAGGTTTCAGGAAGGGGTCCAGTTTCTGCTTTCTGCACATGGCTAGCCAATTTTTCCAACACCATTTATTAAACATGGACTCCTTTCCCCATTGCTTGTTTTTGTCAGGTTTGTCAAAGATGAGGTGGTTGTAGATGTGTGGTGTTGCCACCGAGGCCTCTGTTCTGCCGTCGGTCTATATCTCTGTTTTGGTACCAGTACTATGCTGTTTTGATTACTGTAGCCTCGTAGTTATAGTTTGAAGTCCGGTAGTGTGACGCCTCCTGCTTTGTTGTTTTTGCTTTGAATTGACTTGGCTATGTGGGCTCTATTTTGGTTCCATATGAAGTGTAAGGTGGTTTTTTCCAGTTCTGTGAAGAAGGTCACTGGTAGCTTGATGGGGATAGCATTGAATCTGTAAATTACTTTGGGTAGTATGGCCATTTTCATGATATTGATTCTTCCTAACCATGAACATCGAATGATTCTCCATCTGTTTGTGTCCTGTCTTATTTCATTGAGCAGTGGTTTGTAGTTCTCCTTGAAGAGGTCCTTTTCGTTCCTTGTTAGTTGTATTCCTAGGTATTTTATTCTCTTTGTAGCATTTGTGAATGGCAGTTTGTTCTTGATTTGGCTCTCTTTAAGTCTGTTATTGGTGTATAGGAATGCTTGTGATTTTTGCACATTGATTTTGTATCCTGAGACTTTGCTGAAGTTGCTTATCAGTTTCAGGAGTTTTTGGGCTGAGATGGTGGGGTCTTATAGATATACTATCATGTCGTCTGCAAATAGAGACAATTTGGCTTCCTCCTTTCCTATTTGAATACCCTTTATCTCTTTTTCTTGCCTGATTGCTCTGGCTAGAACTTTCAGTACTATATTGAATAGGAGTGGTGAGAGAGGGCATCCTTGTCTAGTGCCAGATTTCAAAGGGAATGCTTCCAGTTTTTGTCCATTAAGTATGATATTGGCTGTTGGTTTGTCATAAATAGCTTTTATTTTTTTTGAGATATGTTCCGTCAATACCTAGTTTATTGAGGGTTTTTAGCATAAAGGGCTGTTGAATTTTGTCAAAGGCCTTCTCTGCATCAATTGAGATAATCATGTGGTTCTTGTCTTTGGTTCTGGTTATGTGGTGAAAAGTGTATTACATTTATAGACTTGCATATGTTGAATCAGACTTTCATCCCCAGGATGAAGCCTGCTTAATCATGGTGGATAAGCTTTTTGATGTGCTGTTGCAGTTGGTTTGCCAGTATTTTATTGAAGATTATTGCATCTATGTTCATCATGGATATTGGCCTGGAGTTTTCTTTTCTTGCTGAGTCTCTGCCAGGTTTTGGTGTCAGGATGATGTTGGTCTCATAAAATGATTTGGGAAGGATTCCCTCTTTTTGTATTGTTTGGAATAGTTTCAGAAGGAAAAGTACCAGTTCCTCTTTGTATGTCTGGTAGAGTTCGGCGGTGAACCCATCTGGACCTGGGCTTTTTTTGGGTGATAGGCTCTTAATTGCTGCCTCAACTTCAGACCTTGTTATTGGTCTATTCAGGGTTTTGGCTTCTTTCTGGTTTAGGCTTGGGAAGATTCAAGTGTCCAGGAATTTATCCATTTCTTCCAGGTTTACTAGCTTATATGCATAGAGGTGTTTTTAAAAATGTCTGATGATGGTTTGTATTTCTGTGGAATCTCTGGTGGTATCTCCTTTATCATTTTTTTATTGCATCTATTTGATTATTCTGTTTTCTTTTTTATTAATTCAGCTAGTGGTCTGTCAATTTTGCTTTTTTTTTAAAAAAAAAACCAGCTCCTGGATTTATTGATTTTTTTGAAGGGTTTTTTTGTGTCTCTATCTCCTTCATTTCTGCTCTGATCTTAGTTAATGTTTGTCTTCTGCTAGGTTTTGAGGTATTTTGGTCTAGCTCTTTCAATTTTGATGATAGGGTGTTGATTTTAGATCTTTCCTTGCTTCTTGTGTGGGCATTTATTGCTATATATTTTCCTCTAGAGACTACTTTAAATGTGTCCCAGAGATTCTGGTATGTTGTGTCTTCATTCTCATTGGTTTCGAGGAACATCTATATTTCTGCCTTCATTTCATTGTTTATCCAGTCAACATTCAAGAGCCAGTTGTTCACTTTCCATGAAGCTGTGTGGTTTGAGTTAGTTTCTGAATTCTGAGTTCTAACTTGATTGCATTGTGGTCTGAGAGACTGTTTGTTATGATGTCCATTCTTTTGCATTTGCTGAGGAGTGATAATTTCCAATTATGTGGCCAATTTTAGAGTAGGTGTGATGTGGTGCTGAGAAGAATGTATATTCTGTGGATTTGGGGTGGAGAGTTCTTTAAATATCTATTAGGTTTGCTTGTTCCAGGTCTGAGTTCAACTCCTGGATATCCTTGTTAATTTTCTGTCAGGTTGATCTGTCTAATATTGACAATGGTGTGTTAAAGTCTCTCAGTATCATTGTGTGGGAATCTAAGTCTCTTTGTAAGTCATTAAGAACTTGCCTTATATATCTGGATGCTCCTGTATTGGGTGCGTATATATTTAGGATTGTTAGCTCTTCTTGTTGCATTGATCCTTTTACCATTATGTAATTTCCTTTTTTGTCTCTTTTGATCTTTCTTGGTTTAAAGTCTATTTTATCTGAAATGAGATTTGCAACTCCTTCTTTTTTTTTGCTCTCCATTTGCTTGATAAATCTTCCTTCATCCCTTTATTTTGAGCCTTTGTGTATCCTTGCATGTGAGATGGGTTTCTTGGGTACAGCACACTGATGGGTTTTGGCTTTTTATCTCATTCACCAGTCTATGTCTTTTGATTGGGGCATTTAGCCCATTTACATTTAGGGTTAATATTGTTATGTGTGAATTTAATACTGCCATTTTGATGCTTGTTGGCTGTTTTGCTCATTTGTTGATGCAGTTTCATCATTGTGTTGATGCTCTTTACCATTTGGTACATTTTTGGAGTGGCTGGTCCTGGTGTTTCCTTTCTATATTTAGTGTCTCTTTCAGCAGGTCTTGTAAAGCAGGCCTGGTGTTGCTAAAATCTCTGAGTACTTGCTTGTT